TAGTTGTAACACAAATACCTGTACTTCTACTTCCTACATGCTGAACTCAAATACCTGTACTTTCTACTTCTTACATGTTGAACTCAAATACCTGTACTTTCTACTTCTTACATGTTGAACACAAATACCTGTACTTTCTACTTCTTACATGTTGAACACAAATACCTGTACTTTCTACTTCTTACATGTTGAACACAAATACCTGTACTTTCTACTTCTTACATGTTGAACACAAATACCTGTACTTTCTACTTCTTACATGTTGAACACAAATACCTGTACTTTCTACTTCTTACATGTTGAACACAAATACCTGTACTTTCTACTTCTTACATGTTGAACACAAATACCTGTACTTTCTACTTCTTACATGTTGAACACAAATACCTGTACTTTCTACTTCTTACATGTTGAACACAAATACCTGTACTTTCTACTTCTTACATGTTGAACACAAATACCTGTACTTTCTACTTCTTACATGTTGAACACAAATACCTGTACTTTCTACTTCTTACATGTTGAACCCAAATACCTGTACTTTCTACTTCTTACATGTTCCAAACAGGCTGGTTCCTCTAGTTTGAATGTGTGTTTGGCCTAAATAAAGAGCTAGTTCAAAGACTTGTTTCTTTAAATCTAAATGCATGATATGTTGTTTGTGGCAGAGCATCAACCATCTGAAGCCTCAGGTGGAGGAACTGTCTCAATCCTCCAACTCCGTCTACAGATACGTCAACAGCATCTCCACGTCTCTGAGGGAGAGGCAGGTAGTCATCAACGGTGAGGAATACTCTCTTTTATTCAGTCAAAGCGCTAAATATACTTCTGCATGATAGACATTTCTCGTATATTTTCCAAGTACTCAGTCTTCACTTTACTTTATAGACCCAAAAATCCAGGTGAAAAAGAAACAAAATTATAATATATATATATATATATTTTTTTTTCCTGAAAACAACTGCTTTGGAAAATTATAACAGCACAAGAGATAATAACATTTGTTATAATAATAAAAAATAAAAATTATAATTGTAATTTTCTTTTATTCTTTAAATGTTTTACTTTTTAATAAAAACATTTAAAATGTATATTTTTTATTATTTTTTATTACGTTTTTTTATTTTTTAAATATTTGTAATGTATCATTATTATTTAAATGATTTTATTTGTTGTTTACTCTTGAATTATTTACACTGATATGAGAGCATATAGATAGATACAATACCATTTTGAAGACTTGCAAATAGTTTTTACAAACCCCAAACCGAGGCAAATTCAAACACATCTTCCAAAAAGAAAACTACATTAAAATAACATGACCTTTGTTTATTTGATTGCATTTTTAACGAGTTGTGCACATTGTCAGTAACGCTGGTGTGTTTCCCGCTCAGATAACAGCCGGGTGGTGAGTCAGTACACCGACCGGGTGGAGGAGCAACACGCCTACATCAAAGAGACCGTGGACACCGTGTTCCCCTCCAACATCAGAGTGCTGCAGGTGAGAGAACCACAGGAAACACACTAACTGCTTCCTGTCTGACGTAAAGACCACAGGAAACATACTAACTGCTTCCTGTCTGATGTAAAGACCACAGGAAACACACACACTGCTTCCTGTCTGACGTAAAGACCACAGGAAACACACTAAATGCTTCCTGTCTGATGTAAAGACTACAGGTAACATACTAACTGCTTCCTGTCTGATTTAAATACTATAGGAAACACACTAATTGCTTCCTGTCTGCTGTCTGCTGTAAAGACTGCAGGAAACACACTAACTGCTTCCTGTCTNACTGCACTGTCTTTACGTCAGACAGAAGTCTGACGTAAAGATTACAAACACTGACACTAACTATTTACTGTGAGCAGTAAAGACTACAAACACTAATGTAAACTGCTTCCTGTTTTCAGGGCGTCCTGGAGAAGATCCGTCAGAAGATCCTGAAGCTGGAGAAGGCGATCCAGACTCAGAGGGAGGAGTGCAGGGAGCCCTGCACCACCAAGTGCCCCATCCCCGTGGTGTCCGGTAAGGCGTCCCTAATAACATCATTAAAGACGCTTAATTATTCGATGTAAAAATATGAAATAAATACATAAAAAACATGCATATTGTAGCATATAGTCAATAACAAGAGAAGCATCTTATTATATGAAAAACAATATGCAAAGGGCATATTAAACTACATGAAAAATGTAACCTGTGTGTTTCAGGTAAGGAGTGTGAGGATATTTTCCGCCGTGGAGGAAAAGACTCCCAGATGTACATGATCCAGCCCGACAGCTTCACTGCTCCGTACCGAGTCTTCTGTGATCAGACCACGCAGAACGGAGGTCAGAATCACTTCCTTTTAATATCTCCCATGTCTTAACGAGGCCTTTAATTAACATTTCTTCTTCTTTTGTTTTTATTTCCGCAGGCTGGCTTCTCATCCAGAACAGGCAGGACGGCAGCGTGGACTTTGGGCGACGTTGGGACGAATATCGACGCGGATTTGGGAACATCGCCTCCGACTCTGGGAAGGGTCACTGTCAGACTCCTGGTAAGGTTTTTCAAAATAAGAGTCAAGAGCATTTGTGAAGGGAGATGTAAGCTAATGGGTGGAAAACTGACATTATTTTAAACATATTTTAAAAAGAAATAGGGGTAAAGGCATTGTATATAATATGTTATTGTTTTTTAATATATATTTAAGTGTTTAAAAAAGTTATTGTATAGTGTATTAAATGATGATCATGCAAAAGTCAAAGTATAGTATGTAAAAAAAATAAGAAAAATCATGTAGTAAGTATAGATATGCCAAAAAAAGTAAAAGCATAGCATGTTAAATTAGAAATAAATGGTATCAAGACGTATAATCAATATAATAACTAAATAAAAAATGATTAAAATAAAAACATGGTATGGTGTTTAAAATATTAGGATAACATATAAAAAATATCACGGCTTAAGTTAAAGATCTCAGTACATTTCGAACACATTTGAGTTCCTTAATACATGTGTTTATTCATGATTTCGGGTTGTTGTTCACATCCAGAATTAGTTTGCGTTTTTTCCTTTCTCACCTGCCAGGTGAGTACTGGCTGGGTAACGACCGCATCAGTCATGTGACCAAGATGGGCCCCACCGAGGTCCTCATCGAGATGGAGGACTGGACCGGAGCCAAGGTGGGCAGCAATATTTCTATATATTAGTGTAGAAAATAAAAATAAGTCATATTGAAAAAATAGGGGAAAAACATTGTATAGTATATTGAAATATTGCCAAAGTAAAAAAACGGTATACAGTGTGTCGAAAAAGTCAAAGAAAGGTCATAGAATGTTGAAAAAAAGAAGGATAATGGTCTTCTCTCACAATATAAACTCATCTTGTTGTTTTTCCCTGCCTTTAGGTCCATGCTCAGTACCAACAGTTCACAATCCAATCAGAGACGTCCAACTACGTGATGGCGGTGGACGGATACTCCGGGAATGCCGGGAACTGTTTCCTGGACGGATCCACGGAACTGTTTGGTGAAAACCGCACGATGACCATGCACAACAGCATGATGTTCAGCACCTACGACCGAGACAACGACAACTGGTGAGTGTCCTGGTAATGCTGACGTTTTCTTAAAATAGCTTTTATAATAGTCATATTTTTCGCTCCTTTGTATGCACTGTCCCACCAAAGCACATTCATCGTGTGTGTAAACCTACTTAGCAACGACACCGATTCTTGGCAATAAAACGTAATATAGTCTGTTGAAAAAGTCGAAAAAACGTCATAGGTATAATGTGTTGAAAAAAGTAAGAAAAGAACGTCATAGTAACAGTTCCAAGGATCCTTCCAGGACACAGATTCTGATTCAGATTTGTCATGTTTTTTGTTTTCTAACCTTCTTGTGTACCAAAGCAAATCCATCGTATGTGTAAACCTACTTAGCAATAACACAGATTATGGGCAATAAATAACATCATAGTGTAGTTTGTCAAAATATATGACGAAAAAGACTCCGTGAAGAATGTTGAAAAAGTAAAAAAATGCCATAGTAACAGTTCCAAGGATGCTTCTAGGACACAGATTCGGATTCAGATTCGTCATGATTTTTTTGTTTTCTAAACTTCCTTCGAACCCATGTTTACATCCAACTGCACTTTGTATCCTACTTCTTACCATTTTTATAGAACACATATTTATTTTTAGTTTTGTAATTATCAACTGAACTGACAAACAAATGTAGAATAACTTACTTATTGAATTGTTTAAATTTGTTTTACTGCCTTGACCGTATTGTTTTTGTATTTTTATAGCAATGTTGTATTGTTTTATAAGCGTACTGTTCCATGTATCATAGGTCCAAATTCTTGTCTCTTTATATAGTATATATTCAATGTTTTTAGCTTGTATTGTCAAATGACACTTATACGGTCTGTTATGTGTGATCGCACCTTCAGGAATACTTTGAATTTCGCTGTACTCTGTGAAGTCTAATCTAATCTCGTCTCCTTGTTTCCTCTCCCAGGATCCCAGGTGATCCGTCTAAACAATGCGCCAGAGAGGATGGAGGCGGCTGGTGGTACAACCGCTGCCACTCGGCCAATCCCAACGGACGATACTACATCGGAGGAGCGTACACTCGCCGAATGGCCAAACACGGCACGGACGACGGCGTGGTGTGGATGAACTGGAAGGGCAGCTGGTATTCTCTGAAAGCCATCAGCATGAAGATCAGGCCGTTCTTCGCCTCCAGATAATCAGAGAGCATCATCAACGCACACATACGGGAAACCGCCAAAATAAAAGACAGGAGAGGAATGTGTGGCTTTAGGGTTTGGGGTCAAACAGCTTCAAAACTCTTTGTAGCTCATTTTCAAGTGTGTCCTTTATTTTAGCTGTAACCTTAAAGTTGGTGGACACACACACTCAAACACAACTTTTACTGAGAGTCTCGGCATGTGCTGATGTATACAAACATAAGCTTAAGAACAAAGTGAAATAAGAATTGATAAAAAGTAAGATTATTGTGTCATGTCTACAGGAAAAGAGAAGCATGGTACTGGTTGTGAGTGTTTGTGCTCTGTCCTTTCTCGTGATGTGTGACTTCTTCGGTGTGCAGAACAAGGACGAGTCAACAGACTGTCCTCCGCTACTCAATAAACACGTTGAGGAACATACTTCCTGTCTGGTCTGTCTGTTATTTCACTAAAGGGACTGTAGAAAACGAAATGAACTCAATGAATACTTCCTGCTACAGCCTGTCAAAATAAAACACAAAAACGTATCATGGTGAAATATGCAAAGAAGGTTTAAAGAAAAGTAATGCTAAATAATATTGTTGCTCATCTTCTACGTCAATCAAGAGGAGTACGTGGGTTTAAACTGCAGAAGAAACACACTGTCAACTTTTGGGATAACAGGCTGAGGCACAAATGGGCTTTTGTAATAATGGGCCATCGCAAAAAAGGGCGATCACAAAAATGGGCCATCAGAACAATCGGAAATTCCCATTCTTGCCGGGATAGTTTTAGTAACTAGCTTATCTAGTCAGTCAAAAGTGGGTGTTTATAAATGCTAAAGATAAGGCTTATTACAGCAAGAAGCAACAGTGTTAAGGAATACTGGCAGAAAATTACTAATACATGTTTTAAATTGTAAGTAAGGTCTTTCTTTTAAAAGGCAAAAAACATGACCAAATGTCACTACAGTGTGTCCAAACATTTTGTACAAAAATTCATAAAGTATGTCAAATATTAAAGAGAAATGTAATTATAAATATTTTTAAACAATTGCCAACAGTAAAAAGTAGTAAGGAATGTCATAATACAAATATAATGTGTATAAAACGGTCAAAATAAATATATAAATGTGAAGTTACACCACAGTAAACAGCATGCTGATTAATGGTACATTGAAACAGTTTTGTATGCTACCTGAGAAACTATTCAATAAGAGGCAGAGGTGACAGAAATGTGCAAAAGTGTGTTTTATTAACTGATCCGTGCATATACAAATAACATTTCAACATGCAGTGAGTTTATGGCTGTACAGCGAGGGAAGTCATTGTTGAAACAGTGACATAAATATTATAACAGGAAGCAGAGGAGTGTGTTCTTTATGCATTGATATTTAAATGTGTCTAGTGACAGATCAGAGAAGATTAAATCTGTCACCCACATGCGGAACCAGAGAAAGACACGGCTAATTTCTGAAGACCAAGATTATTGTAATTACAAGCATTTTAAAATGGACGGAAAAACAGTTTGAGGTGTTTTAGAAATACATTATTTGTTGACAATTAAGACAGGAAGATTGTACATATAATGACTTTAAGTTAGAGATTCACTTTGCCCCCAAAATTGCTTAAAATCATATTTTTCTTAGTTTTCCAATAAAAGTGACTCCAATTTTTTTTTATGGCAATTTCAGATTTTTGTATCAAGCAGAAAATGCATTTAATATGCAAAACTGGACAAACCACATATTTGAAATGTTATTAACCCATTGAATGTCCGTTAGTACTACCATTATAATGCTTTAGATGAGGCAACATGGGCAAACTGCACCTGCCCAGACATTAAAAGCAAAACAAAAACAAAAGATATTTATTAAATTGTGAATTGAAGCAAAAGTCATTGTTGTCACTCCTTGGTTTGGTTTAGGACCTGGTTTAAGGGTAGAATTAAATAGTTGTTTATGCACACATCAAACAAGGCGGATTAAGCTAAGTGTATTTTTTCTGTTACGTAAGTCTTAGGTGCATAACTTAAAATAAGACTTAGAATAACTACGGCCACTAGAGGTCACCGCCTAACTATTTGTAACCTCCCTGCAGTGATTCTGCTTTACAATACATGATACTGATAATATTCAAAGTGAACAGACTTTTTTGACGTGCAACATTAAGGTGGACGAAGGGCTTGGCGATATAGAGAAAATCAAATACCTTGATAATGATATTAAGAAGATATTGAGGCGTTGATTATCGGAGATATCAATAAATATCTACACTTATATTATATTTTTAATAAATAATCATTAGTTATGTGGATATAGAGACTATAATGATGATGGAGAAAACATACAACAGTCTGGTTAGTTCAGAAAATGAAATGTCTTTGCAGTCTATAAAAACAGGAGAAGACACTTATGCAATATATGATATCCAAAATCCAACGATATCTACTCAAAAATATATATCGATGTATTGCCCAGCCCTGTGTGCACGTTAACAAAGAGTGTGTTGTTGTTGTTAATAAACAGGAAAAATACAGTGAGGTGTTTATTAGAAGAGACCCTTTGAACCCCTGAGTGCTGTTAACTAATACCTTTTGAAATAGGAAGTACAGTCTTTCTTTTACCAGTCAAAAAACATGACAAAATGTCAGTTCAGTATGTCGATATAGTATAGTATGTCAAACAATGTCGAGAAAAGTAATAGTGTGCAATGATAAATCCCCAGTTTACTATGTCGCAAATATTTTTAAACAATTGCCGACAGTAAAAAGTAGTAAGGAATGTCATGGAAAAATATGAAATGTATTAAACAGTAAACAGAAATATACATTGAAACAGGTGTTATACTCTACCTGAGAAACTATTCTGTGCTGATACCTTCCACCATGAACCTGCCTCAGTGGAGCTCTTCAGTCTCGAAATCCACCATGAAGACCCGGTTCAGGGGAATGTCCTCGAACTGGGTCAAAAATTCTCTCCGGACCGTTGGGATGGATTTATACTCGGGCGATGTCGGGTGTTCGTCGACCGTCTGCAGCTTCATGTGAGGGACGTCTTCTGGAGGCGATACGACTCTCCTCCTCTGGTGAGGAGTCTTGTCCCGGGGCCTCAAGTCGGTTTGAAGTGTTTGGAAGCTGTGATGATCCACGCTGAACGGAAACACCAGCTTACAGGAACCAGAGCAGGCTCGCAGCTGCACGTCGACCTCCACCTGGAGACGGGAAAAACATGTTATTCCTCTATAACGTCAATTCTTAGTTAACATTAAGCTGTCTCTGGCTCTAACACATGTAAATGTCCCCTCTGTGGGACGAATAAAGGTTTTCTGATTCTATTGTGGTGGAGTTTTATGTTGAAGTACCCGAACATTTCAACTGTATTGATTCATGTTTTCCTAGTCAAATGTGCCATATATGAAATAAGCAAACGGTAGCTGTTGTTTTGATAGAACATTGAAATAAGGTTGAATGCAGGCTATGTAAGAGTTCAATTATAACCAATGGAAAAAGTGTATGATTGGCAACTCTTGGACCGATCGAAGTCTTTGGAAACACACTGCACAGTACCCCCTGGATTTAGCAAGTAATATAAGCGTTATATAGTGAAACCAAAATCAAGATTTAACAAAGAACCCGGCGAACAAAACATAAAGCGGAAAGAGCCCAAAACGCTCGCTAATCCTTCCAAAGATCTTGTAGCTCAAAGACTAAAACGCTTACCTACTAAAATAATGAGCTGAAAGATGCTCATACTTTTTAATTTTGGATCAGAGCACCTTTAAGGATCTAACAGCATTCTGAAAGAAGCGTTCCTGTTCATTTCTCTTACCTCTGTTCGATATAAGTCCACTAATTGTTTCTGGACGTCTCGGTTCACCTCCTTGAGTTTCAGCGACAACTTGGACGAACGTTTTCGGAGCGACGTTAGGTTCAACGCCAACACTTCGCTTTGTTCCACGAACTTCAGCTCTGAAACTGGAGACCAATGCAGACAGCATTAGTTTAAATCATCCTATCTTTATTACATGCAGATTATAGTGGTGCAAGAACGACTACTTAGTTGTTTGTTAGTGTCAAAGAGAACATAACATACCTTTCTTAATTACACATTCTTTAAATTAAAGCTAACCCTTAAAAAGGTATTAAATGTCATCGTCAGCATGAAAAATGACCTGTGTGTTAATATGTGGAGATTATCCTGCTGAACTATACGTGTACATTTCATCAAAACTTGTTTGACACAGAGATTATGTTCTGCAGTAACCCAAAATCACACGGAGGAATCCCATTGGACCAGGGAGATGCTGCCTTCAGGGTCCAACACAGACATACGACATCCCTGCACCAGTCTACCAAACATTACCAGGGACTACAGATGAAAAATAGCCTCTTGAATGACTCTGGCACATGTAAAGAGATGTTGATTAATGTGCACTGTCCCTGTTACAGTCTCACTGTGTCTGCTGACGAGGAATCTCCGGTTGTGTTTGTAGGCATGTGTCATGGCCGCCATGGACTTCTCATTCGCGTCTTCGTGCTTCTTCGCTGTTTTACACAGTTTTGTTAGTTTCCTCTCCACCTTGCTCTCCATCTGTGAGATCAAACCCTGCAGCCTGCAGCCGGAGGGGCATTTAGAAACCTGTAAAAGGGAAACACGAGGGTCAACATCAGCATCAGAATCAGAATACCTTTATTAGTCCCACAGAGTGAATTATATACTTTCATGTGTATGAAGTTGGTCCCATCTAAAGAAAAGTACTATAGAAGGTAAATATAGAAAAACATTTTCCTTTTGAGACTTTTTTCTCCTGAACCAGCCAGATTACAGAAAGACTGATACATACAGACATGTTCACTCGAGTTAAAGGGAATTAAGGTTTTTGTAAATCCACAAGGAAATACAATGAAGTGTCAGCATGGTTATGAAACTCTGAATCGCTGAAATGCTACTCTGATATATAGTTTTAATATACATTATATCATTTTATATTAAAATTGTACAAACAAATAAATATCGCAATCTGCCTGATCTTAACACTAAAGGCACATCATAAGCAAACACTATAAATACAAAAATACCAATCATTTTCATCTTTTGGAAAAGCAACATAAGAAACATTTAGGATTCATAAAAACATTTAAAAATCTTTATATATATATTTTATGAATAAATGTAGCCTTGTCATGTGGTTGTTTTTGGACTTTATTACCATATGCCTTCTAGGATGTTTTGAAGAATAAATAAGGGCACATATATACGTGGATTAACAAAAATACTATATTGGTATACTCATGATATACAAATATATCCAGTATTACAGGTGTTTGTAGAGGCTGATGATTTGCTGTCAAACTATCTCAAATTTCAGGTTTTTATTCCTCAACTAAACTTCACATTTGGTGAACGTACTTCCACCTCATGAACTATAGTTTGATAACCGTGTGTGTGTGTGTGTGTGTGTGTGTGTGTTTCTCACCCAGTCGTCGTCTGCACACAGAGGGAAGTGTGTGTGTGTCCGGCAGTGTTTCTTCATGCGTGTGTGACCTGAGGGCTGGCGGCCATCTTGTTTCTGCAGCCTTGTACAAACTGCAGAGAGAATAAATAAATAAAATAAATAATTGAGGTCAGCGCACCTTGGACCGGCCTCCAAATCAAACATGAGATAAGATGTGAAGCAAGAGAGGACACACGGAAAACACTTTATTTGGAATTAACAAACAAGTGGAACCAACATGAACTCAGGTTTTACTTTCTTAGATAAAAGATCACTTTAATATCCAATGTTTTCTCATCAAAATGGGATCAAATTACTTTTTGATTAATTCTCAATATGCTTAAGAACCAGGCAGTATAACAAAATACATAAACATTGCATAAAGAAGTGCACTTTGTAGTTTAATAGCTAAAACATGTTATTCTTCACCAAGTGTTTGTGGATATCAAACTCACAGAAATAATGTTTCATGTTAAATATGAGTCATTTAAACATTTGGAAACACATTTGTAAGCAAGGTAATTCACTACTAACATAAATGTTGATTTTTAACAATTAGAATTCTGTCGTTAAAATAAATTTTGATCCCCTTGTAAGTATTAATTATGTAAGAAAACTTCAAACATTCTTGATCTAATTTAGTCTTCCAGCAAAGTATTTAAAGAGTACATTTATTGTATTTGATAGAATCATATGTAAATATATAATTGAAGTATATTTATATGGCATACGTTTTTAATAATTTATATATATTTGTGTATTAATTAAGAATAATGCAGACCTTCCAGATACAAGTGCGTTTATTTAAAATATGTATTTATGTATTACTTCCCACTTCTAATAAAATATAAAAAATGTGATATGTAAACATCAACCTTAAATTAGATTATTATTAAAGTGCCTTTTAAAATGACGAAAATGTTTTATTTTAATTTGGAAGACGATAAAAACCGGTAAATAAAAAATGATGTATTAAAAAAAATATATATTTATCATACATTTTGTATTGATTCTCTCGATAATATTTTTTAGAATAATAATGTCTACTTTATTATAAATTAAATGTTTTTGGTATGTTTGAAAATATTTAAACCTGTTAGTCTGTGTTAGTTAAATGACGGCACACACCACAGCAGCTGAAGTGAACATTTGATCTTTATTGATTTGCAAGAGTTCATCGCTCCGTACAAAGTTGAGAAACAGGGGGAAATATTGGGAACACTTTGTGATTTTCCACAAACTCTTCTGGGATAAACAGGTCGATGAAATGTACACAATCAGGAAGAATAAACACGGAGAGATCAACAGTCTGAAGTCTGAAGTGCACGTCCTACTCTAAGCTTTTCTTTAGTCCTGCCTCGTTGCTCTTAGAGTTTAAATAAAATATTGTGCATTAAAACAAAAGCCGCCGATCAGATGAACATTTTAGAGGTTTTTTAGATCCCTTTCAGATTCCTTTCAACCAGACAGAAATACATACCGCAATGAAATCAAAGGTTTGCTTCCAACGTCAAATATGCATATTAATATGGTAGCATGTGACGTTTACTGGCAACATATTGTTAAATTATTTAGACTTTAGAATAAATCCCATTGAAGCAATCTGCCCGGCAACAGTTTTTCAGGCTCTTGTTCTTTTAAAACATTTTTATCAGTGTCTAATTAAAAAGCCGCCGATCTGACGGACATTTTGCCGGTTTGAGTTCAAAGTATGGTGCGTTTTTCAGGGGATTTTTGATAAATATCTTTAATGGTTTTGCCATGTTTTCTCTAATTACAATTACAATTTTTAAGCTGAAATGTTTTCCACGCGCCTTCGTTTGCAACTAAGTAGTGCACGGGTCGTACAATCCTCGATATGATAAATCTCGTTAAGTTAGGAGCCTGAAGTTGTTGTATTTTATCTCAGCATCTAATTAGAAAAGTTTTTATGCCGTTGTTTGCGGGTTTGATGTCAAAGAACACTGCGATCTTTTTTAAGTTAGCCGTTATTATTTATGTTTGATCTTTTCTCAGTGTGTCTAAAAAGCTGCCGATCTGATGAACATTTTAACCTTTTTCAGACTGTAATTTGTCGGTTTAAACGTCTCCCACACAACTCCGTTAGCAACTCCGTACGGTGTGGTTTTCTCCGGTTCGTACGCGCCTTTATAATAAACCCCGTTTAGGTTCGCCGCCTGACAGTCGTTGTACCACCATCCTCCGCCATACATCTCCGCGCAACTCCCCTCTGACTTATCATTATCTTTATCAAAGGTGCTGAACTTCATCCCGTTGTGCGACGACTTAGCCACCGTTAGCGAATCCCCGGCGTCTCCCGTGTACCCGGAAACGTGAATTGGATACCCTTCGTCTTCAGAACCGACTCTGATCGTGAACTCTGCGTTAGCTACGCCTCCTTCCCAATCCTCCAGCTCCACTTTCAGCATGTTCTCACCCTGATTCGTCAGGAGGTGGAGGTTCTGATTTCCGATCCAGAACTCCCCGCCTCCCGTCGCGTCAACGGACCCGAAAGCGTCGCGATATTCGGCCCAGGATCGGTTGAAGTTTAGCGCGCCGTTTTCTCTCAGCTGGACTAACACCCACCCTCCCATTATCCCCTCCTGGTGGCAGTAAACCTCCACCAGCTGGGGGGAGTCTTGGCCTCCAGGTCTGATCGTAAAAAGGCCACTCGTTTCTCCGTTCAGATGCTTCCTGTGGGCGTCGACACAATCTGCGGACAGAGGGGAAACCGCAGACCGCTAGTTAGTTCGGAGCGCTTCGGCTAGCTTCAATTTACTGCAGTAAATGGTCGCGTTCCTGCAAGACGGCAACCCATTTCTGTCAATCTGATACACATTTTTTTCCGTCTTCGGTCTCTAAAAGCAACCTCTAAAACGAGTATTTGTCTGTGAAAGCTTAAAAGTACTTAATGGGCTAACGGTCACTCTTTCTGCTTTAATGTACTGTGCTAACGGTAGCTGGAACTGCAACATGACAAACGACAAACTAATGTTATCTAGAAATCAACATTGATTATATGATATGTTTTTGAGGCAGGCAGGTTTTTTTGCTGTAACTTTATTGAAATAGGCAGTTATGAAAGTGTATTTGAACAGAACTTTTAAAAAATCACAGAAATAAACTCCTTGACTAACGTCAATGTAAATTAAGATCATCAGCATTCTTAAGTGAGAGTGGTTTTGTCGGGGGAAATTTGACGCTAATGCTTACTTTAATACATGTATTTGCAATACAATTACATGTACCCCAGTCAAAAGAATGCTAACAGCTTTTACTGCAAAATGACTTTTGTCCCAACAAACTCATGCAAATTCTTCTTCAGATTTATTCATATTTGATGTCCAGAAATACCTCAAAAACACAACAATACATCAAACAGAACATCTTGAATCTCTAGCATTAAACAATAAAAATTCCTGTGTTCACTTCATATTTTTGGTACATAAGGCTAGCTGATGCTAACGTCTAGCTGAACGCAGATTTTTTTTTATTTTTTATGTATTTACTCCACGTCCGATGTTTTGGTACCTTTTCCTATATACCCGGCCTCCCGCTCCGTACGCACGCTCTTCACACTGCGGGCGTGGAAATCGGGAACGTCTTCATCGGCGAGAGACGCCGTGAACCCGCCAAAGTCAGCGCCAAAGTCGCCGAACGGATTCCCGGAAAGCCCGGTTTTGGTGTCTAAAAGGCTTCCTTTGGTGCCGCCGGCTTGGACGATTTTAGACGAAGAGGAAGAGGAGGAAGAAGAGGAGGAAGATGTGTGTGAGAGGCTGGGGAAAAGAGAGCTGGGTCCTCCCTGGGAGAAGTCGGTCATTGATTGGCATTCGGGGCCTCCATTCATCACTTCCTCCACTCTTTCCACTGGACCATCTTTGGTTTGAACCACCGTTATCCGGGTGCTCTTGGTGCAGGTGACGTGAGTGACGTGGCTCGTACTCGGCTGTCGGAAACCATCGCCGCCACCCAAGAAATCCCCGTTTCCTCCGTGATGGGTGATAGAGGAAGAGGATGAAGAGGAGGAAGTGGATGAAGGGAAGGAAGTACCTGGGGCCTTGGAGATGGTGGCAGGGGAAGAACTGGAGCCCTCCAACTCGAGGATCAAATTCACCGTCTTCACCTGAGAACGGAGAGGAAGCATGAGTACAGTTTAATGTGTTCGGATTATGGCATTAAGTGTTTGAAGTAAATGTGATAATGCCCCAAGCTATATAAGAAAATATTGGTAATAAATAACAAAGTATTCTAGTTCGTTTGGAAATATCCTAAATAATTAACTTAACATTTCAAAAAAATATATAAATCGTATAAAATAACAAAATGTCTTCTATCAATGTTTTTTTTTATTTTTTATTTTTTTTTAAATGGGATTTGTTGAAAATGCCAGAATGGAAGGTGTGAAAGTGTGCAGGATGACGTGGTGCATCGTTCAGTCGAGGAAAGGAAGATCTTACGTCGGGGAACATGTCTTCTTTGTGCTGAGCCATCGCCTGGCCGCTCTGTCCCGATTTATAGATGCTGTCCACGATGACGCCCTGCAGCGGGCGACTCTTCATCACGTACAGCGTTCCCACCGCCTCGATGTTCTGCGCCGCCCGCGAGTCCAGCTGGTCCACCTGCAGGAAGACGTCTTTATTTAAAAAAAAGCTACAAACATGCACAAAAAACTTGCAGAATGATCGGGAATGGTAGCAAACTAATAAGATGTTCTCCATAGGAATGAATGGGAAATCGACTTTAACAGAGCTCAAAATCGCCCAACTTTGAGGTCATACAGATTCGCCATATTTTAACGGAGAGAGGTAATTCAAAGTTCAATCAGCTCTCCAGATTCTTGTCTTTGTTGGACTAAAAACGTTTTTTTGATAAATGGAACAGTTTTCTCGAAATCACAGTTTGAAAGTTGTGAATTTTTCAGCTTTGTTTCAGATTGTCACAATGGGTGTGAATGAGGCGGAATGTTCAGAGTGATGACATCATCACTTAGAGTGTAGAGGGTCATTGAAATCTCCTGAAAAAAAAGATCTTGAACCTGCTCTAAATCCCATAATATTCACTCTTTTCACATCATTTAAAATGACTTCAGACGCTAAATTAGTCAGCGTTGTCTCGATGCCTTCATCATATAAAACTGATGGACAAATCTAACCCTAAAGAGCCCTTGAGTGACAAAAACTCCAGCGGCCTTGCCCATAGACTCCCATGTTAAATGTTCGACTGGGCCTTCACACTTTAGGAAAACTGCCTCCACGGCCACATTTAACACACACAAATCACACATATGGTTCATAAGGGCACTTATTACTAAATTATTTTATCGTTACTAGTTACGGTTTTCTCAAGAAGAGGCAAAACTGTCACAGATTAACCTCAATAAAGTCGCAGACTAGGACACCCCACACTTCTACTTATGTTTTAGCACTAGTCACACAGTTAACAATTTTCCTAGGGGTTTTTTCTACTTTTAGAAGTTGGATCTTGTACAAATAACATAATTTATCCCCTCGAAGCTTCTAACTGCGTGCACCTTTTAGCGTAATCTTTGTAAGACACATTTAGATGTCGTTGAAAAGCTTCTGTCTTTAACGCCCTCACCTGTTTCTGCAGAGTCAATAAGCTGTCCTGGTCCACGTCGTGCGTGGCGTAGGTTTGGCAGGATCCTTTGCAGGAACGCAGCTTAATGTCGATGTCGATCTGACGGAGGGGAAAAGAGGTTAAAATAAAAGTGTCTTCAAGCACCAAGTCTGCATGAACTCTGGGAGTAAACACAACAACACACCCGGCTGCCAAGATGTGTTTTTGTAGATAATTAATTAAAGAAAAACGGACATTAATATGACTTTTTCATAAATACTGAAGCAGCTTTTGAGCCATGTCAGGGTTTAGGACTCGGATACAACTTTATAAATACTATAATAACGTATTTCCAGTACCTCCAGTGGGATTATATATATTCTCCACAACACACATACCATAAATTAAGGTATTATATGAAGGTATATATATATTTTCATATACCTCCAGCTGTGTGTTTCTTAGACTATCCACACTATAAATACCATAAATAAAAGTATTATATGAAGGTATTATGTGAAGGTATTCATATATGTATATATTCAGGTACCTCCGGTGGGATTTTAAATATTATCTGCAGTATAAATACTATAAATGCAGGTATTATAAAAGGTATTCAATCAAGGAATGTGTGTATTAGTACCTCAAGGCGCTGCATGTCGTCCACCTGGTCCTTCACGCGCTTCTTCAGCGCCGCCAGCACCCTGAGCTGCTGGTCAATCCGGATCTTCATGTCCGTGATCCTCGTCCGGAGAGTCTGAGCCAGGTCGAAGTAGCTGTTGTCGTTTCCTGAGAAATATCATTCACCACAATTATTTAGAAGACTTAAAATAATATATAAAAGTATATATCTAAGATATATATAACCCTCCTGACCTGAATCGAGGGTGAGCTTCTCCTTCAGGTAGTCGTAGGTCTGCTTGGAGACCTGGTCAGCTGATCGGTGTTTGGCCCGGTTCTGATCCAGGAGGCTGCGGATCTTCTCGATTTTCTTCAGCGTGCCGTGGTCGTATTTATCCAGAAGACCCTGAATCCTGCAGCCGGACGGACACTTTGAGCCCTGAAATCATAATAACAATATTATTAATAATAATACATTGGCTTTTTCTAATGCTCAAAGACCCTATCATCGTGTGTTGAATAGGTTTGTGTGCATGGAAATGGTCTTGAAATGCTAAATTCCGGAACATAGTGATTTCATTAGCTTCTATTGGCTAGTGCTCTAACACGTTGTACGTGACATCTCTAAGCGATAGACCAATCACAACAGAGTATTCTAGAAGTAGAAAGAATGATGTTATATATATAAAAACATAATAAGTAAAATGTCCAAATATTATAAATATATATATTATATTTTATATGAACTGTACCCATTGGTCGTCGGTGCAGAACGGCCACTCTTTCTCCGGCGCACATTTATCAGATCGAGTTCCCTGCTCCACGGGACGAGCCCCTCGGGGGTCCACCAGAGGCTGGGCCTACACACACACACACGATAAAAAATTCTGACATCCTTATAGTAGTTCAATAAAGAGGTAATAATTAATTTAAATGAATGTAACGCCTTTAAAGAGTTTTTAAGGATATGTAACACAAAGCAGATTATAAAATAAATCCTAACATTTTGTAAATAAAGTTCCCTAAATGTCCAGATGAATCAGATTTCTTAGTCAGATATTTGAAAGTGTCTCACCAGAGTCGAGGCCACGCATAATAAAGTGAGGAAGACGAGGTTCTTCATCTTTGCGTCTCTTTTGCAGATTTCTTTCTGAATGTTCCTCTGAAGCCGCTGCAGGACATTTCAACCCTTCTGCGGGGGGTCAAAGGGCGCTGGTGTGGGGGTGTGTTTGTCGTGAACACACACACACACACACACACACACTGAACACACACTTACTGGCAGTGACAAACAACTGACAGGAACATCACGAGCCGTAAATGATTACTCAAGAAGCGACAAATCGACAAAATAAACAACATTTTCTGGGTATTTATACATGACGCATCCTTAAACCAACAACAACGAATGTGCAAAAAGAACAACAAATACTGTTAAAAATATTAATTGTTTCTTTACCCAATTTAATATCATTTTCCTGCATTTAAATACATCTAGAAAATAACGAAATTATAATGAAATGAAATTGAACTCCTGGCTCTTTTGGGGTTTTAACAAAGTGAATAAAAACACATTAAATTAACTATTTGATCATCAAACGCAAACAAAACATAATTGTATTTTTAGCTTCTTTTATTTTGTCAGCACAGAAAAAAACAAGAGACACATTTCTTCAATAATTGTCGAAGCAAAAGGTCATTATTTCAAAAATAAATTCACATTATTAAAACTCACTAATGGCTATTTAAAAAATTGTAAACTAACGGAATTTCTACAGAACATTTTGAGCGTAATACTTGAAGTATTTGAGACGTGTGGCGCAGTGGGTTGTGCGTTGGTGTTGGGATCAGGGGTCACAGGTTCAAACCCCACTCCAGTCAGCATGTCGTTGTGTCCCTGGGCAAGACAAATTGCTCCTGTGGGGATTGCCCACAATATTGAGTATGTAAGTCTCTTTGGATAAAAAAAGCGTCTAACAAGTGACATGTAATGTAATGTAAAAGTATTTAGAGAACTATGGAGGTATATGTATGACTCACATTATACAGATGGGACTACAATGCATTATTGGATATTTCACTGTTTCTCAATAGAAAGCAACAGAACTGTCACATTTGTATATAAGTTAAAGTAAAGTTTAACGTTATACAAGTGGGACACCCAGTGGTGAAAATAAGTATTACTCCATGATAAAAGAAATAACAATTTTGTAAGTAAATGTTAATATAATCAGGAAAATGTACTTTAGTTGTAACATATTCAATATAAGATTATTATTATTATTATTAAGCAAATAATATTTAAAATTATCTTTAATGTTTGACTGACTGTAATAGAGTAATTTTAGGGGGTTTAATCTATTGTATAAAAGTTTATTGTAATTCCTATCCTCCGGTTTTTTAATATGTAAATTAACTATAGTCATCCAATGAATATAGTGAAGCTAATGTACAGTATTTCCCTCTGAACTGTAGTGGAGAAGAAGAATAAAGTTGCATCAATATAAAGAAAACTTCACATAACTAATTATTATACTCAAGTAAATGCACTTTCCACCACTGGTGACAGTTAAAATTGTATCTTCTGAACAGAGATATTTTTCTTAAGGTTTTTTATCCAGAGTTTCTTTCTGGTGAGTCAGCTGGTGGCTTGTTTGGTGCTGATGGAGCCTGAAACGTTTCTTACAGACGTCGCACTCAAAGGGTTTCTCTCCGGTGTGAATGCGTTTGTGCTTGGCGAGGTTGCTCTTGTCGGCAAATGTCTTCCCGCAGCAGTTACATCCGTAGGGTTTCAACCCGGCGTGAACTAACAGGTGATTCTTTAGGGCCACCCTCTGGGAAAAGCACTTCCCGCACGTTGTGCAGCGATGTGGTTTCTTCGATGTCTCGACGCACTTGTGAAGAAATACAAAAAAGGATAAATATTTAAAAGAAAAACACTGCATAACTTCCACAGATTAAATGTGTAAATTTACAAATTTTTCTCATGGTGTCAGCTACAAAATATGGCCTTTATTTAATTAATGAAGAAGTATTAAATAATTTAAATGAATTAAAGCTTTTTAAGAGTTTTTAAAGGATCCCGTAATACAAAGCAGATTATAAAATAAATCCAACTATTTCGTCAATAAAGTTCCCTACACTTCCAGATAATTCAGATTTTGTTGTCTCATTCAGTTTGTAAAAAGTGTGAAGATATTTCTGATCAGAATCAGACTACCCTTATTAGTCCCACAGAGGGGACATTTACATTGTTACAGCAGAAAAGAGCCAAAAACAGCTTAATGTTACTTAATAATATTTAAAAAATGTCTCACCAGAGTTGAATCCACACATAATAGGGAGGAGCGTTTTTGTTTCTCTTCGTGAGCGATCTGGTGTTTCTTCAGCGCCGACGAATGACCGTAACTTTTCCCGCACTTGTCACATTTGTACGGTTTCTCACCCGTGTGGCTTCGCACGTGTGAAACAAGATGCTGAAGGTGTCGGCATCTTTTCCCGCATTGAGAGCAGCAGAACGGTTTCTCCCCAGTGTGAATCCTGCTGTGCTTCTTCAGATTACTCCTCTCACTAAAGGCTTTGGAACAGATGATGCATTTGTATGGTTTCTCTCCAGAATGAGTTAATTTATGCGCCGCCAACGACTCTCGGATCCTGAATCGTTTCGGACAAAGCGAGCATCCATACGGTTTCTCTCCCGTGTGAATGCGCTCATGTTGCTGTAGTCTCGCCAGCTGCTTGAAGCTTTTCTCGCATTTGCTGCATCCGTATGGTCTCTCCTCCGAGTGACTCAGCATGTGTGATTTCAGATCTCCTTTCCTGGAGAAGGATTTTCCGCATTGCTCGCATATAAACGATTTATCCTGTTCAGAAGTCACCTGGTTTGCGGTTTCTCTTGTTTTGATACAGTTTTGTCGCCGGTGTCTTGTTAAGTTGCATTTCTGTACGAAGGATTTCCCACAATCCTCACAGCGGTGACTTCGAGGCTCGGATGCAGCTTCTTGCTCGTCCTTATCTGCCATTTTTTCAGTTGTCGAGTCTAGAGAGAGAAGGGAAGAACTGCAGTCAATATTCACAGTTTTTGGCTAGAAAAATAGTGGCAAAAAAAGCACATTTTTATCCAAAGCGACTTACAATAAGTGCATTCGACCAAGAAGATACAAACTTGAAAAATAGAATCAAATAAGTACAGGTTTCATAGAGCCAACCAATTTTCAGTGCTACTCAACTAGCTTTAGATAAGCCAGTCCTTTGTTAATATACAAGTGCTTTTTTTGAGGAAGATGTGTAAGCTTTCTGCTGTCCTGATGTCAATGGGGAGCTCATTCCCCCATGTTGGAGCCAGAATAGCAAACCCACGTGTTTTTGCTGATGGAAACTTGGGTCCCCCTCGCAGTGCGGGTGCAGCGAGCTGTTTGGCTGATGCAGAGCGGAGTGCATGTGCTGGGGTGTACGGTTTAACCATGTCCTGGATGTAGGAAGGGCCAGATCCATTCGCAGCATGGTACGCAAGTACCATTGTCTTGAAGTGGATTGTAGAAGTTATTTTTCCCCCAGAATTCTACTTTTAAAAATGTCTGACTCTTTTTTTTTTTTACAGAATTTGACCTTTTCAAATTTCTATTTTTTTTTTATACAGAATTTGACTTTTTTTTAAATTTACATTCGATATAGAGATTAAACAATGAATTTAGAGAAATGTTATCAGCATTTCTTTATAAATATATATGACGTGTAGTCAGGTTTGTTCTCTACGGAAAAAGGACACTTTCTCAAATTCTGGATTTTCCCCCCCAGAATTAGACTTATTAAAATGTCCGACTTTCTTTTTTCAGAATTGAATGTATTTCCTCCAATTTTGGTGAGGAATTTCATTTTCTTCCCATGATTCTGACTTTTACCCAGAATTAGACTTTTTATCACATATTTATTTGCATTCAAAATAGAGATTAAACGTAAATTAATATGTAATCAGCATTTTCTTCATAAATATACAATGTGGTGTTTTTATCAGAGTCAGGTTTATTCTCCCTACAGGAAAAGTGGCACTTTAGAGCAGGGGTCGGCAACCCTAAGCGCACGTGCCACCATTGGCACCCGGTACCGTAACCAGTGGCACACTAGGAATAAGTGGAATAAGCGTGCCAAATATTTAAATTGTATTTTTGGATACTGAATAAGACTGCCGCCAGAGCGTATCTCACCGTTACCTGCAGAAGGAAGCCATGCACGCAACGCAGCGCAGAGGAAACTACAAATAAAAGAAATCTAGACCGCAACAGAATTAAACAAGCGACTGC